GTCATGCTCTCAAGGATTGGTAATAAAATTGGCAAGCTCTTAAAAGTAGACGCTTGCACATCCGCTATTTTAAAGTGTAGATACACTGGTTATGTATTGAGCTTCCTCTAGAACATCCAGTCCGACCCTTCATCTATATAGGTTCTCACAAACAACCTATCCATTATGAAGGAGAAAATTTTCTTTGCAAAGGTTGTGGTAGACTTGGCCACATTAAGCCTAACTGTGGCTACGTCTGTAGAGATCCTACCCCAACTAACACTACTTCTCCCAGATCCACTGATTACCCCTCAAACCATATTGAGGAGGAGCAATGGAAGGTAGTTTTCTTCTCCAAACAAAAAAATCATCACATTAAAGGCAATCTTCATCCAAAAGCCTCCACAAAGAAAGCTGATTATAAGGAGGGTGGGGGTATCAAGGCGAAATTCTTTTATGCCAATACGGGAAAATATATTAACACTCAAAAGTTTATCTACAAAGAAAAAATTTCTTCTGCCACAAACCCCAATTCTATTACTCAAAACTTTAATTTGGATACTGTTAATAAGTTTGATATTTTAGACACGTCGGATGATAATCAACTGACACAAATCTATACTAAGATAAACAATAGTATAAGTCAAAAGAGATAAAACAGCTCTTCGACATTCTCTACGCACAACCCGATTTGCATGGTAGAAAATACAAGCCACGTGGCAAAAGATAACAAGGAAAAATACCCTGCTAGTCACTTAGCTCCCCATAATGTCTCCAAATCCTTCATTACCCGCGGTTTTAAGGATAACCCACTGGAAAATAACACCATGCAAAACAAGTATTCCCCCTCTCAACAAATGACATCCGAGCTTCCTATTCTTCCAAAGGTTAAAAACCTTACGCAAACCCACTCAGACTCCATGTAAGTTGATAATATATTTTCCATATATATCTCCCAAGATACTACTACTCAAGTAACCTACAAAGCCTCAGACTTCCTATACTCCCCTCATACATATAATGCCTCATCTACCACTTCTTCTTCAACGAAGAATAAATCTCCTCAGAATACCATGTCTGAACCACCCTCAAATGGACAACCTTCCTCCACTCCCACCTCACAACAACCCTCTCATCTACTCAACCACCTTTCTCCCAATGAATCATCAACCTCAATCCTGGTTAGAGAGAGGGATTCTGGGCTATGCAGCATCCTTCAGCCTAGACATAGAGGGTCAGGAAGTTGTCATAATCCTCCAGAACTCCAACTTCTTAGCCTAGTTGATCATGGAGGGCATGCAACTAGCAATGAACAACTATGTCAACCAAACTTGGTTGACCAACATCTTGAATCCAATAACCCTAAATGCCTCTCCAGCTCTAATCCAAGCCAAGCAGGCTCATTGGGGCCTTACTGCTCACTTCAACCCAACTTATGGGGTTCAACCTCTACAGAATCTACCCTTCTTTCTACCACAAAATCAAGTGAACCCAATCTTCCTAGCCTAGCAAGTAGCAAACCAGGCTCAACATGTGATCAACCCTGTAATACCCCAGAACCAGGAAAATCCTGCTCCAATGGATGTCCAACCACCTCCCAACGTACAATACTTGGGAAATCCATTGTCAGAGCAAGGGGAGGCAGTAGCAAGGCCTTTAAGGGAATCTCGAAAAGAGATCAAAAGCCTCAGAGAAATAGCAATATTGCTCTACAAGGAGAAGCAAGAGAAGAAGTCTATCATCAGTTGCCCAACAACATTATTCAAATGCTTGATGGACATCAGACCCCCACTAAACCCTGCAGCAGGAAAATATGCAGTGGTGCTCAACCCCTCTATGAGGGAAGGCCTACATTTACGTTTGTAGGAGAACCAGGGGAACTACAACGGACAACATATACAAATTACACGTCCAATTAACTTTATAGTTTGGAATGTGAGAGGGGCTAACAATGCCAATTTTCGTAGGAACTTCAGGGATATCATCGATACCCATAGACCCTCTCTGGTAGCTCTCTTAGAAACTCGCATGCAGGATCATGTCTCTATCCAGCATGATTTCAACTTCTCTGAAATATTGGAAATTCCATCAGATGGCCGCTCAGGTGGGATTGCCATCATGTGGATGCATAACATGATCACAGTAGATGAGGTTGTTAGAGAAGATCAGGAACTGTATGCGATGATCAAGGTAATCCCCAATCAAGACCCTTGGCTTGTGAGTACAATTTACGCTAGTACTGATAGTTATGAGCATAAATTAATGTGGTATAACCTTACTAATATCTATGAAAAATATAAAGTTCCTTGGCTCGTTATAGGTGACTTTAATGATGTATTCTCTTCTGAGGAAAAATGGGGAGGTCGACCTGTTAATTTTAATAAAACGACCAAACTATGGAATTTGGTTAAGAGTTGTGAACTTTTTGACCTTGGTTTTAAGGGTCCTAAATATACTTGGACAAACTATAGGAAAAGAAGTAAAGGGCTCATAATGGAACGTCTTGATAGATGTTTTGTAAACGAGGGTTGGGTTAATCAATACCCAAATGCCATAGTGGATCACTTGCCTTGACATATAGTGACCATAACCCTCTCCTAATTAAGCTTAACCCAATATTTAGCCCTCCAGAATCTAGGCCCTTCCGGCTAGAAACTATGTGGTGCTCCCATCCCCAATTTTCCAATCTTGTAAAAAATTGTTGGAATAATAGGCCTTTTGAAGAGGCTCTACCGTTTTTTAAACATGAAGCCTCTAAGTGAAATAAAGAGGTTTTTGGAAATATTTTTTTTTTAAAAAAAGAGAGAACTCTTCTAGCTAGAATTAAAGGTATTCAAAATTCCCATAACTACCCTAATAATTTCTTCCTCCTCAACCTTGAAAATCAGCTTATAAATGAATATAACAATGTTCTTAGAATGGAAGAGGATTTTTGGAAACTTAGATCAAGAGTTAATTGGCTAAATAATTTTTTCACATCTCCACCCTAATCCGTAGAAGAAACAATAAAATTTCTCATTTTTAAAATGAGGACAACTGGATTGATGATCCCTCAGAAAATTCAAATCACACACTCGAGTATTTAAGAAACATCTTTACCACGTTTCTCTCAATCTCGAATAGGGCAGAAATCATTTCTCCAAAATGATTTGATAATTTGGACCTAAATTTTCTAGATACTCCTGTCACTAGCCAAGAAATCTCAAATGCTATATTCTCCTTTAAACTCATGAAAGCTCCAGGTCAGGATGGAATCCATCCTTTCTTCTATCAAAAATTTTGGTCAGTGGTTGGGAATTCTGTTATTACTTATGTAAAATATCTTTCAAACGCAAATAATTCTGGAACCTCTTAACTATACCCATCTCTGCCTAATCCCCAAAGTGCCTAATGCTAACCTTCTCAAAAAAAAAATTCCAATAGGCCTTTGCAATACTATTTACAAAGTTATCACTAAAATTATAGCTAACAGAATTAAACCCCTCCTTTCTAGGATCATAAGCCCTTTTCAAACTAGCTTTATTAAAAATAGAAGGGCTTGTGATAATAGTATTATCATCCAGGAAGCTCTCAACAAATTCAAGAAAGTTAAAGTCTCTAAACCTAATATGATTATAAAATTAGACTTAGAAAAAGCCTCGATTACCTGGAATGGTCCTTCATTTATAGAACTCTTGTTTACTTCAAATTCCCCCCCAAAAATCACCAATCTCATAATGAGATGTATCACCACTAGTAACATTGCCATACTTGTCAATGACACTCGCATGAACTATTTCAAGCCTACTAGAGGCATTCATCAAGGTGATCCCCTTTCACCTTATATTTTTGTTCTTTGTATCGAGATGCTCTTGCGATATATAAATCACCAAGTCGATTGTGCAAATTGGGAAACTAAATCCAAAAGGACCATACCTATATCATATCTTTTTTGCAGACGACCTTACGTTGATGGCCAAAGTCAATAAAACAAAACATGTGAAGCCATCTCAAATACCCTCTCTATTTTTTGCAATTTATCAGGTCAAAAAATTAATTACAAGAAATCAAAAATCATTTTTTCTACTAACTGTCCCAACCTCTCCGGGAAAGAATTTTCAAATTTCTTAATATCTCTATTAGCAAATACTTTGGTAAGTACCTGGGTTTCCCGATAATTAATAAATCTCCTAATCATAAGGATTTCCTATACATCTTGGACAACATGAGATCAAAGCTTGCTAACTAGAAATTAAATTACCTTAACCTAGCAGGCAGGGCAGCCCTGATACAATCAACTCTCAGTAACATCCCTAATCATGTGATACAATATTTTCTTTTACCCAAATAAACCCTTAAACTCATTGATCGTATCCAAAGAAATTTCCTTTGGGGTTCTACGTTGGAACAAAAACGTCTCTACTTAATCAATTAGGTTACGGTTACTAGTCCTAAGGAATTAGGGGGAATTGGCTTAGTCAAAGCCAATATAAAAAACCAAGCCCTTCTTGCAAATCTCACATGGAGCCTTTATAATAATGCAATGGCCTCTTGGGCTAAGACTCTCATTAACCAATATTCAAATTAAGCCTCTCCAAAGAACACTTCTTTTATATGAAAAAATATTGTAAATGGTTGGAACCTTTGTAATAAAGGCTTGGCATGGAATATAGGTAATGGATATAGGGTTAGGTTGTGGGATAATAACTGGATTCCCAATCTCCCCCTTCTTAGAACTCTGATCCAATTAGGTCCTCTTACCGTTGACGAGGATCACATGCTAGTTAGGGACATCCTTATTAATCAAAAATGGAATTTTGATAATCTTTCTTTTTTCATCCCTAGTGATATTAAAAATGCTATTCAAAGCATCCATATAAATTTTTCAACCTTCCCCAAGGACAAGCATTACTGGAAACCCACCAATAATGATATCTTTAGTATTAAATCAGCTATAAGACTACTAACACCTCCAAAAGACTCCCCCATAAATACTTCATGGATTTGGAAACTGAAAATCCCTAGGAAAATATGTTTCTTTCTTTGGCTTTGCTATCATAGAAAGCTTCCCACTAGAGCTTATCTCCTACACATAGGACTTAATATCGATGATCTGTGTCCAGCTTGTAGAGGAAACAAAGAAAATATTTATCACATCTTCCTAACATGCCCCATAGCTGTAAAATTCTGGGATAACTTAGGTACTTCCCCTCCATCCTCAACCGATATCCACTGGTTAGATTCTGTTAGACTCATGAAACCCTCAAAATCTTTCCAAGCCCTAGAGTGGGAGGATATTTATACCTTATGCTTTTGGCATATATGGCTCAACCGCAACAACAACAACATTAACAATATTTCTAATGATATCTCAGTCAAAATGACTCTCAGCAAAGCTGCTGAATTCAAATACCTCACTGGTAACAAACATTCCTCCTTAAATACCATAAATTTCTCCATTAGATGGCAAAAACCCTCTATGGGATCTTTTAAACTTAACTGTGACAGTGCTTACATCAATAATACTAACGTTGGTGGCTTGGGAGGAGTCATACGAAACAGCCATGGCAAATGGATGGTGGGGTTCCAAAAACTTACTAATGTCATTAGCAACACTCATGCAGAACTTCTTGCCCTGGAAACGGGTCTAAGAGTTGTAGTCCAATTTAAGCTTCATCCTCTCGAAATTGAAATGGACTCCACAAAGGTAATTTCTTTTTTTGACAAAGATCACCAAATTTATAATCATATTATCTCTTCATGCAGGTGGTCAATGGCACAATTGGGGATACCATTGCTCAGACATAACTTCCGAGAAGCAAATTCAGTAGCTCATCTTTTGGCTAAGGATAGTACAAAGCTAAAGCTCATAAATAAAATAATCATCCATCATGCACCTATCCAATTGGTGAAGGCAGTTTTGAAGGATGATGTTGTTAGTAAATCGTACTTTAGGCTAATATCGGAGGAAGCTTGTAATAAATTAGCTAGTATGGGGAATATTAATGCAGTTCATAACTCTAGCACTTTTGTAAATTCTCTCAGTTTCGATCCCAATTGGATGGCCGGGAAAGATCTATGTGATGTTACTTGGTTTTTTATAAAATCTTCCTATTTACAACAAAAAAAAAAAAAAAATAAA